ATTTTAAATAACATTTACTCCTCAAAATGTCCGGGTGCCGTCATCACATTGTTGGTGGGAGCTGTTACACAAAGTTTGGTTATCGTTTTCTCATCTATAATAAACTCACTATTTTTGAGTCTTAATAAAATTTTATGACCACTTGAGCTTTATTATTTAGAATTGTTAAGTTATTGCTCGAACAATAGAGCTCAAGTGATCCTAACAGTTATGTAAATTTTGTCAACGAAGCGTTCGGTTGTTCGGAGATTATCTATCAAATAAAAATGGACAGAGACGACAGGTGTGACAGATAGACAGACAGACAGACAGACAGACAGACAGATGGACAGACGGACAGACGGATAGACGGAAACAGGAGTCCTACTTATTCGTACTCTAGGGATCATAAAATGTCGAGAAAAAACGACAGTAGCCATTTACCAGGTGGAGTATACTTATTACAATACTTCTTTAGATTGCACATGGGAATTAAAAACAGATAACATAATTAATTTTATGAATAAAAAGTTATTGCCTAGAGTGTCTATATCCTCTTTTTTAAGCTTTTTTCTACTTTTACGTAGCTTATTTTTAGGTTTTTTGCAGTCTAAAATCCACCGTTTAATGATTACATACTTTGGAAAGCAGTAAAATCGTATACATTTTCGAGAAGAATCTAGGAAAGAAAATGTTCTGGAAGAATTACATTTGAAAAAAAGTTGGTCGAAAGTTGTTTCGATAGAACTTCCCTCGCTCCTGAAGTACAATGGAGCTAATCCAGCATTTTCGAGTTGAGTTTTTTCTTTACACAATTTTGTGTGTCATCAACATTTTTGCAAGGACACATATATCAGCTTAGATTGGTGCAGTGTAATACTAAAAATAACAGTGTTGTATTTCCAAAATTTTCCGAGGAAACAGAGTCAATAAAATAAATTGACTCATTCATTAATTTTTTTGAGTCACCCCGTATAAGCAAATCTAAAAAAGATGAATGCAGTGATAAATAACAAGTACACACTGATCATATTTGGCACATTTTTGAAAGGATTTATTAAGCAAATTTTGGTTAGCAGACAGACGGACAGGCAGACGGAAACGGGACACCTGTTTCTTCGTACTCTAGGGGGTCAAGAAAAGAAAACGTAAAAGTAGAGAGTCCGCCGACGGACTCGATTACAATACTTCCTTTGCTTACGCTTAGGAAGTAAAAAAGAGAAGAATTTTTACTTTATTATATGCTTAGATCATATAATAAATAGATACCACCACGCCGTGTTCTTTCCCTAGCAGAGCCTGTGACGACATCCTCCTGTCACACATCTCTCTTGTGCATAGAGGGATTATAATCAAGCTATCCTTGCGTGATCACTATTTGAATTTTGCGCGCCTAAATTTTAGGAAGTATGTCTAACCTAACTTCGTACGAAAGATGTTCACACCTTGATTTTATAAATAATTCACAGTTAGTAGATAACGAAAGGAACAGTAAATTATTGTGCAGCAATTGTGATCCTTTATGATTACATCACTTAAAATAGGATCTTTGTTCTAAATTCTAAAATTGTTTTTCGTACAAGAACTCGAAAGAGAGGTTAGAAGAAACATCTGTCAAAAGCGATTTGTTGCGCTGGTGCGGTACAAGGATGGAAGTGAAATAGACATATACAGATGAAATGCATATAACAAAGATGAAGATGTGGGGATCACACAAGGATAGCATTATACTACTCCCCTTGACGTAGAAAACGACAACAGATAGCTTCATGTCTAGTCACAGCTTTCAGTTTGAGTATTGGTATCTATTTATTATATGATCTAAGATTATATGACTGAAATTTAAGAAAGAAAATTTTAGATAATTTATTGTAAGAGGTTGTCGTGATGAAGTCAGTTAGCGGAGAATAGTGCAAGTAGTGCCAAAACTGTGTTAATAAAAAAGGCAAATTTTCATAAAATTCTGGAATTAAAGACTGAGTTTTAGAAGATTTCTATTATGTAGTATTGTGGAGTAATTTCTAGAAAGCTCCATTAGAACAAAAAATACTCTTGAGAAATTTTGATAGTGTATAGTTCTCTGCCAATAAGGAGTGTAAATATAAGTTTCGGGGAACATTCTAGAACATTTAAAATATTCAAACGACAAATTATTAGCAATCTTTTGATGAAGTACCTAGATTGAGAAGTTCTCAAAACCTGTGGGAATGAGAACCCAAATCGAAGAAATGTTAAACCAAACATATCAATTAATTAGGCTCATACAGCTAAAGGCGATTAATAGATGACAAAAAGTAGGAATACGGGAAAATAAGAAAGGAAAAGAACAGAGAGAAAGAGATAAAAAACCAATCTATAGAAATTATAATAACATACTAGACAATGACGTTGAATATTTAATTGGTAGACCAGACGATAATACAACTTTGACAGTGATACGTAGGTACGCAAACTTATCGAACATCGTCGGAAAAATAAAATTTTTCGGCGACCGTAAAGACAGAGGGAAGCAATGTTTGAATAGAAATAAAGAGCAAAGAATTGGGTTTTGATCGCTCTATATCCAAATATAAGAAAATTATCGACATTAAAAATAAGAACAGAAATTTAAAACCCCACAAAAAGCAACTAAAGAGTGTAAGAAGATTATCTAAGTCCTTTCGATTGAATTAAAGGCCAAAAAGAGAAGTTACCAACTATAGAAAGAGTTGTTCATTGGCAAACCTAAAAGGTCTTCTTTCCAATTTACCAACAGGATATCAGTCCGTACAAATTGAGGTTTAATGGTTAGAACATGACAAGATTACTATTCTGATATTAGTTGAATAGGATGTGCAAAGAAGATAGATGATGGACTATGAGAAGCAGCGTATGTATATGAGAAGTGTCCAAAGGAGAGAGAAAAAGAAAGGAGAAAGAGCCACTGTATAAAGTGGGATTCCATAAAGCACTTAACATGAACTAGAATTGTCGATTAGTTAAACAAGAAAACATATGTAGATAACGCAACAAAATTATTGGTTTCTGATGAAGACGTGGTATTTGTACAGGGTTCGAGGCTGAAGAGAGTGAGTCTGGATAAAGACAGGGGGCAATGACTGCCAGCAGTTTAAGAGATACAATAGTTAAAATTTCAATAGTTTTATTAATGAATTAACGTTATTATCAAGAGTTCAGACCCAAAAATCGTCGATATTATAACCATAACTTATCAATAGTTTACCAGTTATGTGATGCTTGAGCTTAACACATTCTACTATTACTTAGATACAACAGGAAATAATTATGTCATTTATTCTTGTCCACATTACATCATTATTATTATTGCTAATTTGCATCTATTATGTTAAAATGTCATACAAAAGTTTTTAAATATTAACATGTCAAAGCCAAAGTAACTGATGCTTAACCACGTTAGCAATGCATCATTATAAATTACTGTTCTTATTATCTCAGCAACGTTTCAACTTGAATAATTATGTACGAACATGTTGACGACCAATAAGTGTCAATTTGCAGTTGGATTTTTTTAAATATATTTAATCGGCTTTCCTGAAAATTAGAAACGTGACCTGGTTCTCGTATCCTTTACGATCATTCGTTTCATTTGCAAAGACTGGTACATTGCAACAAATGCTCCTATATTTTTCTCATTTTAAACTCGATAAAGTGACTAGAATTACTGCTTTCAGTAAGGGCTAACCATTTTATTATTTAAAATAGTGTAATTATTATAAAATATTTAAATAAAATTTTAATAAATCTTGAAATAACATTCCCGAATGCAAGTCACATGAACTATTTATAGAGGGTATGAATTTAAGCGAAACATTGTATTTTGTGAAGGAGTTGCGTGTCGCGTGTTTTGTAAGCCCTTGCTGGAATCTTAACACTATGAAAATTGCTCTCTGTTTCGCAAATATTGATTCTTTGTTAAATTACTTTTGACACATTAAAAAAAGAAATATATAGTTATCGTTACCAAGTAATATTTAGTATTGATTGTTTCCTACAGTCTGAAGTATATACATATTTATTTATTACGGAAAAATTAAAACTATGTCAACATATCCCTCCTTACTATAAGATTTCTAGCGTAATATAAAAGTGCTCTAGCTGAGGCATAAAATTGCATAAAATCTCCTTCAATTTGAATGAGATCGCTGTTTGAAACTATTTTAGAATTCCAACGATGTTTTAAGGTATATACATAAGTTGTTTTAAAACTTTGAAAGTATATGATAACGGATATAGACTAAAGTTTGAGAACGTGTTATAAATTTTCAATACTTCAACCCAGATTACGTCCACAAAAAATCTTATTTTCTTGTGGATAGTCCTCCGTGCTTAATTCTGTCCAAGTGAATTGTGCTTCTAAATAAAAAGCGATTTTTTCCTATACGTTATCAGCAAAAAAAGTGACCGCAATTTGCACTACATTGCAACCCAAACAACACTTGCCCGAATTGCATGCCAAACATTCTTTTTAATCGCACATGAATCTGTGCACAAGTTTTATGTGCATGTCCACTTCCATTAGTAAAATTGCCCGAACACTAAACTTAGAAAAGAATAAGCTGTAGCCCGTCTGCCGTGAGGGAATACGGAATCCTCACATTTTTGTCTTGTTCATAAGTATTTCCTGGGGTATTTCTGGTGGAAATTATATAATTCCGCGAAAAATTCGTGCGCGAATAATCCCGTATAATTTTATTTACACATAAAATATAGACGGAAATTTTACTGCTCTCGTAAAATCTTGATCAGAGGCGACGATGAGGTTCCATAAATTTGTAAAATGAGATGAAAATGTTGTCGTCTTTGATGTTTGTCGTTCAGGAGAAATGTCGAAAGGCTATTTGCAAAAGAAATGACCTTTACATTTGATTACAATTTCATATCGTTTATAAACAAACGACCCCGCACCTAACTGGACTCATAAAATGCTAATTTCAACCCTCCGTTGGGGTTTAACAACTACATACTATTGAAATTCTCGAGTTTATTTTTATTTTTTGCAGGTGGATTTTATGGCATGACTGACAGAACGGTGCAATAAATGAAGCAAAAATGCACGAAAGGACACAAATGAGGTGGTTGGCCGCTCTTTGGTTTCTGGTAAGTTAAAGTTATTTGAATTTTTACTCCTATTAAAAAGATGGGGTAATGTATAATTAAACCATCACAGGATTTTTGTTGGGTGACTATTGTTTCGAGCTTCAATGCGGTTTTAAAGCGAAACCCGGTATGTTACGTGTTGGTATCTATTTAATTAATAAATAATTTGAATCTCTTCGTTCTTTATTTTTAGACTACTAGACAGCTTTAAACGTAAATTGAATTCTCATCCCTGCTATATGAGTTTACTGTGTGGATAACTGCAATGAGATATCAGTTCTAGTAGGCTCCCGGGAATTACTACATACGTAATTATTTTAGCTAGCAATTCTTATAAATAACATCGTTAATCGGACCGCTTTTAGTGGCATTATACGGATAATTAAATTAACTTTTTGAATGGTTTGATCAAAGGTAAATATTATTTTGCGCTTCCTTGGCACTTGAACCTCCCGTCGGAATTATTAGCCTGTGTTGTACAAAAAAGAAGAGTTCTTTTTTCTTTCAAATTCCCAAATATTAGTTTAGTAAATTTATTTAAAAAATACTAAAATTGGAGACTAAATAAAAAATGAAAAGCAATAGATCCTTATTCGACTGAAATCTGAGATTCCCTATCCTATTCACTGAATTCAACAAGATGCATCGACACAACGTAAGTTAATTTTCAACTTTTCAACAATTCTTGATAAAACTTCGTAACTCATTTCTCCGCTCCTGCGATTCTTTCCAATTTAAAATAGCACTTTAAATATCTAATTAAAGATAGGACGTAGAAATAGTGGGTTTTCGATGGAATTGAAATTTTATACTTTAAGTGACATTTAAGTGTAAAACATTGTACAATATCTGGAGAGAGGTGTTGTAGACGGTGTATAAAAATTTAATTTCAACAGTGAAACAAAATACCCAGCGCCAGCCGACAAACAATGGAGTAATTTACTGAATCTACCTGTACTGTTTATGGAATGAAAATTATGCCCCCCAGAAAACTCGTAAACAATTTAACCACAAAATTGATATAAAGACAACAAATCGCTTTCCCCAAATAAAATTTTGTTTTTAATTGGATGCTCGTAAATAAAGCTTTGTTGGAAAATCTGATGAATATTTATGACTTTTCAACCAAAACTGTGTAATAACTCTTCAAGATTTACGCATGATTAATTATTATAGAAAAGCATGTATATTTGTGACAGTAATTTTAACGAATATGCGAATATAGTGGAGGTTATTCTAGTTTTCACAGTGGTAACATATGGCGTAACATTAATTTAAAATTTGGTTTTGCGGGAATGGGAAACTAGTTGACTGTTTTGTAAATTAGGTTCTGTGAAGCTGCAACAATGTCTTTAACATTCCAAAACATTAGGAACTCCAAGTGACCGCAACTACGTTATTCAGACAATGTTTACATGCTTTGGAGGCAGTTAGACAGCCACGTAAATGCTGAATGGTGGCGGTTTGAAAACTTTGATGAAAATATTTCGTTTGAACCCACGTTAAAAGTATTCCTCTTTTGATCAGTAATGTAATTTTGTTGATTTTCGATAAATTTGTAAAATAAATTTTCTCCCCCGTTTTTTACTCTCGTGTTTTAAAATTTCGTGGGCGGGAGATTATTGATTAAATTTAACCTGAAATTTGAAGATCAAATTAAAATATTTGTTGGCAACTCGTAGTTGAACTACAAAATGATACTTAATCAAATGTATAAAATTCTGAAAGCACCTACTTGGTGTTTTTTCTCAAAACAAGTTTCTTGAAAGGGAATAATATATTTGCAAGTTTTTCCTTTATGAATATCGCAGCTGTAGATACCAATCATTTCTGATACAGAAATCGAACTATTATCATTAAAATCGGGCAAATGGAGTGGAAACGGATTTAATATAAGGATGGAGTTTGTGCGGAAAGAGGTTTCGGGTAATTTACTGCCACAGACCACTGGATATAGACGTAATACCGGATATTTTTTTCGCTCTTGTTTGTAAACATGCGCGTCACGTTGATTTTATCCAATGTTGCAGGATAGAAACCGGAAGTGACGTTTATATAGGGGCGCGCTTTATAATCCCATTATGAACATCAAATCAGTTTTTATCTGATGACTATCGTTGACTACCGCTTAAACCACCGGACAATGTTGGCAAACTCTATAGCGCGTTAGTTGAAACCCGGGCGCGAAAATTTCGCAGGATATTACATTAAGTAAAATTTGTTAATTCATTTCCTCTTTAAAATCGATGACGTCATCTAATATTTGCTAGATAGCGTACTGTTGCTGATTTTTACCTAGTTTTTCAACTTCTTTAAAACTCTAGAATTACATTAACATTGTGTCCGTACTTGTGAGTAATTAGTACAAATAATGATAATCGCTACTTTGGCCATTGACGAAGACATTTTTAAAATGCTATGACACGGGTTATATACACACAACTCATTAATGCTACGAGCTGTTTCACGGTTCTTTACATCGACACTTCAAAGATATGTTATTCAGATGAGGGAGCCAATTTGAGCACGGGATGAGAAAATAATATATGGGAAATTTCTATTTACCTTGCTTTGTACAGTGTTTCTCGAAAGTAACCTCCGTTTAATGCTAGAACGACAGACTTGGCAGACGAAATTTTCTAAAGATAATCTACATGCAAAACACCACATTGTAATTATAAAATAACGGCTGATCTTTGGAGAAGTAGTATAAATACCAAGTGACTATTAAATTGTCAGGTTGGCAACCTATTTAAAAGTTTATGATGGCACACCTGATTGCCAAAGTGACATTTATGACTGCTGCAATCGTCTCAATCAATCAACACGTTTGTTAGGCGTGCGTATGTCCATACTGACAACTGCGAACTGACGTACTAGCATGGGTGCCAAGTATTCAGAATTGCTAACACAAAAAATTCCTTCAATCATTAATAGTCACCTGGTATTACGATGTCTACACACAAAAGTTTGAAAATATAACAAAAATGACGATAAATACTGTCTGTCTGTCTGTCTGTCTGTCTGTCTGTCTGTCTGTCTATCTATTTGTCTGTTTGTTTGTCTGTCTATCTGTCATCTGTATTTATTTTTATTAGACATATAATCTTCGAAACTCCCGGACTATAATTGCTATTATATCTTAGCTATACGTTAGGGGATTGTGTAGATGGTAAAACTCTAATCAAAATTTGGTTGATCATTCCTATTGATTGATGACGTCACCTCAAAATTATGCTTGGTAATACTATTTCAGTTTTATAAAATAACATATTCCTACACTTGTGGTTTATGAATCCTTATTGATTCTTTATCCTAGAATTGTAGATTTCCTGAAAAAAATCAGAGTTGGATGACAACGTTTTATAGTACCTAATGTAAGTGGAGAACGTGACCAATCAAATCTCATTTTATTGAAGCATATAAATAGTAACGCGACGATCGCTGGTTCAATTTCCTCACGAACCACTTTTTTATAGGTATATAAATAAAGTATTTTATAGGTACATACGTATATAGAGTGAGTCACTAAGCGCGTGGTTCTAGATCTAGAAAAAAGTCAAAAACCACAGTTGTACCACAGTTGTATGGTTAATTGAGGACGATACTCTAAAATTATTTTTAACTATACTGAGTGTTTTGTTTTTAAGCCATAAGACACAAATTAATTTTTAAATGAAACACCCTATATATTTTAAGGTATTTTGTTCTGTGGGTTCTTTTTAGAGGCAGGGCAGCTTCTCAGTTGTTTATAATGGGGAACAGTTTACATTCATGAAATTTGATTTACCTCTTTTTAACCGTAGTTGACTTTTGAAATTCCGATGCGACGTTGCCACGTTATTCCAATTTTCTTGAAATTCTTTGGCAATGAAAGGATTCACAAAAAAAACGCAATAGGATTATTATTAAAATCTGCCTTGTAATATTTTGTGGAATATAGAATGTAGGTATTTATAAAAATTCTAAAACTTTACAATTTTCAAATATCGATCTTTCAGTTTTCTTAATTGGAACGTCCTGCATTTTATTACTGTATCATACTCTATTCGTAGTAACCATCAACTTTAAATACAGAAAATAATCAGCAAAAAGAAAGGGAAAAAATAAAACAAAATGTAATAACAAAATATAGGCTGCTCTATACTTTGTATATGAAAATTTAATCTCATTTATACCACAACAAAAGGCGTAACTTTCTTTATCTCTCCACAAAATGTTTTAACCCTTCCATTGTTCAAAAAATTTCAAGAAAATTGGAATAACGTGGCAACGTGGCATCGTAATTTTAAAAATAAACTGTGCTATAAAGCCTAAGAAGAGGTCAATAAAAATTTGTAAAGATATACTGGGTGTCTGGAAAATGGTGGATTAACTCGCCGCTACACTTTAACAATCAACTGGTGAGTCTAGAAAAAATAGTAAAAAATTCCTTCTCACATTTTGGTGGAGTTATACTGACTCGCCAATTTGCCAAAATTGGTCGTAATTCAGCAGGTACTAGCCCCGCCCTCTCTTTTATTAGAGGGTATCTCATTTGCCAAAATCAGTCTTATCTTACCAGGTACTAACCCCACCCATCCACCCTCTCTTTTCTTACAGGGTATGGCATTTGCCAAAATCAGTTTTATCTTAGCAGGTACTAGTTATTATTTTTTTGGGAGTTCCAAAACCCCCTACATAACTACTGAAGAGTTAATCCGCCATTTTCTAGACCCCCGGTATAGGGTGTTTCATTTGAGAAACTAAGTTGTGTGTTACGTCTTAAAAATATGACACTTTGTATAGTTAAAAGTAATTTTAGTGTATAGTCCTTAAGGAGCCGTATAACTGTAGTCTTCGACTTTTTTCCTACTTGTAATAATTAACAAGAATAAAGATATCGAGGAACGGGGATTAGTGACTCACTCTGTATAACTGATTAATTATTAAGTATAGATATACAGTTCGAAACAAGCCTATCCAAAATCTTGGGCGTTGCTCTTTTTTGTATTAAAAAA